GGAACAGCTTCACAATCCCACAGGGGCAGTTCTCTGTCCTATGGGGTCGCTATGAGTCAGAATTGACTCGATGGCCGTGAGGTTGCTTTTATTGCGCAGGACCCCAGAGAGTGTATACCAGCCGGGGTTTGGGGAGCCTCTCCAGGAGGCCCAATTTTGCACTGCAGTAACTGGTGGTGTTACCTCCTGGTAAATTTACTGACCATTTGGGGAAAATCATGCGAGGGAAACACACACAAACACACACGCACCCACTCTCTCTCTCACTCACTCACTAAGAGAAACTGCGAGCTGAGATGGGGTCTTTTCTGCAGACAGGCGGGGTGCCCCAGCAATCACAGGGAGACGGAGTGGAAGCCGCCCCCTGGGGAGGCAGCACTCCCGAGACACAGACCAAGGAGGACTCCCTGGGGATGCTACTTCGGGGCTCTCTCTAGGAGGACCAAATATCATTCACTTTAAGCGTAGTATTTGTCAGCAAAGGGGCAGAATTCTGGGGGTGACCCTCCTGCAGCAAGGATAATACCAGAAAGGGAGGTGGGGTAGAGACATCAGCTGCCCAAGGTCTGAGACTCTTCCCAAGAACGGCCCCGGAGGCGGTTTACGTTCTCTAATTCTAATGGGTGGAAATTAACCTCTGAGCAGCTGGGGTCTACCAGCTGTCCCCCATCCAACATTTCAGAAGCCCAAGGAGCTGTGTGGGCTAGAACTCAAGCAAGGGCGAGAGGAAGGCTGGCTGAGACCAAACAGGGTTATGCACTCCTCCCCCACGGCCCACTCTGGGGACCACCTAATGCAGAACTCCTTGCACGACGTCTGCCAGGGCTGGAGAGCGCTGCAGGCGCCGGGACTGGCCCTCTGCCAGGTCCTAGGGCAGGGCGGCGGCGGCATCCTCCGACCCCTTGAGAACCTTGCCTGGGCCAGACTCGGGCGTAAATCCGGAGCGGGGTGGGAGACGGGCACCCCGTCCGGGCGGCTCGCCGGGCGCGAGCAGGGTCCTTCCAGGACTGAGGTTCCACAGCCAAGTCCTCACCGCGAGGCCGGGCCTCGGCACCCTGGGGCGGCCCGCCCGCCCGCGTGGCCCGTCCCGCCGGCGCGCTGCCCCCACTCCGGCGCGGAGCTCAATGGCTCCTCGCAGCAAGCAGAGGAAGGGCCTGCCTGGCATGAGGGTCGGAGTGCGGCGAGTCGCCAGCGCTTTCTCTACTTCCCGTCCCCGGCCTCGGTGGGGGCTGGGGGTGGGGTGCGGGGGAGCACCCGTATGGCAAAAGATGGCCCGATAAAGCCCGAAGGGGCGCGGTAGCTGCCCAGGGAGGGGGAGCGGCCCCAGGTCCCGGCAACTGCAACCTGGCGGAGGAAAAGGAAGCCAAGGCGGCGGCAAGCGCAGTGCAAACTCCCAGGAACCGGAATGTGGGGAGACCGGGGGTGGTCGACACGCGGCCGTAGGCCGGGAGCTGGGTCGCGAATCCCAAAACTTCCAAGCAGGTGCAGGCAACGCGCGGGAGCCGGGGAGGCGGTTCCGGGTTGAAGGAGGAAGACGGGAAGCTCCGGGGCCGGTGGAGGTCCCCCCAGAGAAAACAGCCCCGCACCCCTCACCTCTCGGCGAAAGTCTGCGCGCGGCGCTCCCTCCACCGGGCCCTCTCAAACCGCGGGATCCAGAGCGCTCGAGCGTCCGCCAGCCGCCCGGGATCCGGCTTTTGTCCGGGTGCAGGCAGGCTGCTCCCCGCCCCCATCGGCTCACGGAGGGAGCGGCCCTGCGATTGGTCACACGCGTTCCCTAGCCTGAGCGCCACAGCTCCTCCCAATTCGCTGCCCGACGTGGCCCCGCCCCCGGGGGCGGAGCCCAGGGCCTGCTGGGACTTGTAGTCCCTTTGACCCGTTCGCCCCAGACCGCCGGCGGGCACCGCCTCGAAGCCACCCACTGGGGCGGGGCCAGGGGCCGGGTCTCGGGTGGGGAGATGGGCCGGGCTGCGCTGGGAGGCGAAAGTACCGGGCTGTGGGGCCGTGGCCTGATCGTTTAGGGGTTGGGCCGGCCGCCACTGGGATGGCAGTAGGTGTGCGTGGGGAGGGGTGCTGGTGTTGGTCGAACAGGCTGCACGGAGTCCTGCTTTCCTCCCCAGGGGGGAAACTGACGTCTGCACCGTGCCCGCCTGAAATCCGCCACACCAAACCCAGTTGCTTAGACCCGCTTTTTAAGTGCTTCCCTCCTCTCTCCCCACTCTCCCGTGGAGCTCCGGCTAGCAGGAGACCTGCCAGGGAGCAATGGGGCGGGGGATGGGTGAGCAGGCAGGGCTAGGAGAGTGCCAGTCACCCTGCCTTCCAACACCCACACCTGCTCACCCTTGTGCAGACCTGGGCCTGGGCGGAGCGCTACGGCCAGCAGGACATTCATGGTTTGGGCTCCGGTCTTCTAGGGGTCTCTCTGCCTGTCCCCCCGCGGCCTCCCACCCAACCGCATGCTTAGACCCTGGAATGAATGAACTGCCTTGCCCCCTCGCCTTATTCACTGGGTAGGTAGGTCATATTTTCCAAACCA